TGTGTGTGTGTGAACGCACTTTGGGTCACTTTCTGTTCACCAGCTGCCCCCACTTTGCATCAGTTTCCCGCTGATACCTTTTCGGTGCGAGTGGCATCTTTTTAAAAGGTTTCCTGTCTCAATATCTTCATTCAGGCTATGGAGTTCTCACACGATATATCAATATCGTGATTCCACCAGAGCGTTAATTGTGCTTGAGACACCCAAGCTGCAGTTATAGATTGCCTCCACTTCGTTGTTCTGAGAAACTGTCCCTGGAATTGTAATTAGGCAACGTGAGTCAAAGGACTTTGGATCAGTCTGATAAGCACGTCTTTAGAACAGGTGCATGTAGCAGTCGCATCTAAGTGCAAATTGCACGTCTGTTATTTGGTTTCCCACCCTGGATCTTGATCTCACCTCTCTATTCAGCCTAGTACTCATGGTCTACATTAATTTATTAGTGTCTCGGTAAGTTAATGGTTGATTGCACTATCGGGTGCAATTTTACTATTGCGATCGTTGGAATACTATTCCCGATACTATTGCAATAATTGAAAAACTGTTACGATACTATTTCGACACCATTGATGTAATATGAAAATGTGAATTATGTTGTGTATCGGATTAAGCCTAGTTTTAGTGCATAGGATTGACTAGCCGTGTACCCATAGAAATAATATAGATAACCATATATAACCATATATAGGTTATCTATATTATTTCTATGCGTGTACCATATCTTTCCACTCACACGCTCATGCATTGCTAGTGAGCTGGTTGAGTTGACCATACGTAGATCACCGGGGACAAGTCTAATTATTTACAACAACGACGGACATGTCAGTAATGGGTTTTCAGGATCATTTACGTGTGAAAACGGTGTCTTTGGCAGTAAATTAACTCACCTTGTGTTTTAATGTTGCAACTATCAAAAAATATCGATTATTCAGTGAACTATCGGCGTCATTTAGTGATGTTTCACTTTATCATCGATGCATTGCTGTCGAACCAAACAGGATTGAAAATTAGTCGATAGTTTGATGCGTCGTTACACTCCTAGTTGACGTCTAGCCCAGCTGCAGTTAAGCGAATTCTACGCTGATGTCTCGAACAGTGGGTGATAACAGATTCTGAATCACGGAAATAAGTTGAGTGGGGATAAATACAAATATAAATACAAAGATGCCTGGATGAGGCTTATTTTAGTCTACTAAAGGAGAAAGGAAGCCATGAGACTGGTCCAAAAACCGTTAGCTTGCTGTGTCCCGAATATCACTGTTTAAATGTTACTGGTTAAATGCTTTTAGTTGTTTATTTTTACTCGCATTTTTTGCAATGTTTTGTTGTACATAACGCTCACAAATGTCCTCATGGTCATTCAATATCAATAATATTTTGCTTTACATGTGGAAGCTTTTTTATTTTTTCTGCTAAATAAAAACAGGGTTCTCTACGAGAAAAACACCGTCGACCTTTTCAAATCGCATGACATGGGATATGGCATCTAGGCGAATTTTTTTATTGCATGACCTAGTGGCAGGCAACCATCCCACGCGAAATAGGGTGTGGACTGTTCGATGCACGCTTTCACATCAGACTGTTCACAAGTTCACACAGACTCACATTCACTGAACCAACACACATAAACTTGTTCCGTGCAAAATTAAAAACATCAACAGTGAACTATATTGTTAAGGGCCGGACACACCAGGCGATTGCATCGGGCGATGGCATCGCCCGATGGCATCGCGCAGTCGTGGACACACCAGGCGATTGCATCGGGCGATGGCATCCCGGCGATGGATCGGGCGAGTAATATCATCAAACGGTTTTATCTGTGCGATGGCCATCGGCCGGATGGCACTTCGGGCCGATGAACATCGGCGGTCGATGAGTGACACACCAGGCCGCGATTTTCACGCCGATGCCATCGCCCGGATGCCAATCGGCCTCGCGGCCGCTGTGTCCGGGCCTTCAAATGGGCGGGCCTTAGCAGCTCTTTTTCGTTGTCACAAGTTATAACCATTTGTGCTTTTCGTGTTGGTGAGAAATTACATCCTGAAAACCGGCTGCCAGCGCTGTCAGCCGGGCGGCAAATTTTTTGTGCAACAACTCACTGGGAGTTCCTTTTATATGTTGTCAACCACCTTCCATACACATCCATTCTCTCTCTCTCTTTCTCTTTCTCTCTCTCTCTCTCTCTCTCTCTCTCTCTCTCTCTCTCTCCCCCTCTCCCCCCACCGCTCTCGCTCTCATTCTCTCTAGCCCGCTTCTCTCCCCTGATCTCTCTCTCTTTCTTTCTTCTCTCTCTCTCTATTCCCTTTCTCTCCCTTTCCCCATCTCTCTCTTTCTCTCTCTGCCCCTCTCTCTCGCGCGCACGCGCACTCTCTCTCTCTCTCTCTCTGTTTCTTTCTCTCACTCTTTCTCATTCGTTCCAATTTCTCATTCACTTACATGTATGCGTATTCTTCGGAATCCCTTGTTTATACAAACAGCATTCTCCTAACAGGCGGCTGACACTTGATATGCCACTATGATGCTTGTGTCAGCAACTGTTATTATTGTTACCCATTAGAAGTCTTAGGGCAGCAGTTAGTAAAGAAGCCATGGTGCCTGTGGATATATATATACACTCAGCTGGTGTTTCCGAACTTGGTATTTACGATAGCTACAACTGCGTAAAGTAACGTATAGGCAAAGCACAGAAGGGGGAGCTCAGGCAGGCATGCACGTACATTTACTGAAAAACGCAAGCGAACTAAATGAAGTTTTATAGCAATTTAGCCCGATATGTTTAACTCTGCCGGCTAATCAGATCTTAGTTTTTACTTTAGATGTTTGGGTTCCTGGTGTACATGAATTTTTGCTTACGCGATGCTGTTGCACAATTACTTTGCTGTACGGGATGGATATAGAAACGTCTGACTGTTCGATAGACATGTTGGCTTTGATCTTTTGATATTGGCTTTGACCGAACGCAAATTTTCGAATATCAAATTGTATAACACAGTGGAAGCGTGTAATGAATGAAAGGAAGTTAGGGTTTCAGGAATAACGAGCGTTGATTCGTGGCAAAAGTTTTATATCTACGTGTACACGTATTGTGAGTGAGTTTTAATGACACGATCCGGATTATTAGTGAAACCTATGCTATACTAATTTGAACTCTGAATGAAAATCTTTTACGAATCTATCAACGGTAAATTTCTATATGAAGTAGCTCATCGTAGTTTTTCTTGGTATTTGGAATAAAGCCAGCTAACTAGTGCTGTAATACGTCGTAATTAATACGTTCCAGAAAAAACCCGTTTGCGCAAATATCCGTAGCCCGAATCGCGTTTTTCCACCGACTTTTGTTAAATAACTCAAAATGCGTTTCTACGTGAAGTATGTACTCCCTCAATTCTAGCACGATCACGCACTTATTACATAACCCGAGTGAACGCAACGCAGTGTGTTACTGTATTGAGTAGCTTCTGGTTGCAGGCTAGAGCTGTTGAGATGTGTCTGATCCGCTTTGCTTACAAGTTACAGTACTGTAGGAGATCGAGCATGATCTAGAATGCAGCTCACCTACATATTTTCAGCTTCATATGAGATGTATCTAGTGAGATGGAGGTGGCCGGTTACATTCCAAGTTTGATGATTTGTAGCAGCCGATTAGATATTCATATATTAAAAAAATCGATCACTGAAAAGAGTACAACGCATCTATTTCAAAATTAGCATATATATGGAAAAATTGAAACAGATTGATTAAATATTGTATTTATTCACTTCAGCTTCTATCAACATGTATTCGGTTGTTACATTGTTTATCAAGTGGAAAAAGTGAATCAGAAATACGAACAGAATCTCAAACAACGATGTTGGTACTTAGCTCTCTTTAGTTTTACCTAAACAAGGTGAAGTGACTTTAAGTCTTGGGTAACTGGCTCATGCCACAGCTTTATTAGTATTGCCTAAAGTCTAATATTCACAATTAACGTGATTAACAGCCCATCTTTGATCAATTGAGTGCAATCGATGCTCGGTTATGACAAATTTAACAGATCCCCATACTACTTGTCACACTAAAACTAACGTCATCTTACCTATCTTTTTTCTTCTCTATTCTAACTTCGTAGGGTGAGTTTTTCCCTCTGTGGCATCTGTGCAGCGCGAGTGATTCTGAATCTTGTTTTTTTGCGTGTGTACGTGAACCAGAATGATATCCTTAGCTACTGTGAGGGGATGAGGAGGTGATAAGTTTTTCGTACCAGATTTCCAAAGCTGGTGCGGGGACAGCTGTTAAGTTTACTGCAGAGCAGGAGTAGATAATAGGGAATTCCCTATTATCTACTCCTGCTGCAGAGTGATCGATTGTACAGTTTGACTATAGGTTACAGTGCGCCGGCAACGTCTAAAACTAAAATGAGCTTTCTGTTTGGCAGAAGGTCTTGAGGGCGTGCCTGCGAGACAGATCTAGTTATCTATCATCTAGTGATCTAGCTATCATCTAGTTTATGACACGCCTGGCGTCATCAGGAGCGACTAAAAACAACTTTTTTAAATTTCCGGTCTGGTCCTGTAATATTAAATTTATTATGGTAAATAGCAGGAGTGATAGCAGCAGCAATTAATAGGATCATAATAGGAGCAATAATATTGATAATAGGAAGATCTAATAGTAATATCATCTCATATTTTATGACACTCCTTAAATATAATATTACTTGACAGTTTCTTTGAGTTACTGTATTTCGTCCTCGCGCGTCTTTTGTCTCTCCGTCCTTGGTCCATGGTATTTATGCACTCATCTAGGACTGAGTAATGAACTCGAATTTCACGAATGCCGCATACCTGGCTAGTACGTATGACATGCGCCACTGGTCAGCCGGAACTCTACCTCTAACTGAATCGTTAGGCATGACTGGGGATACCGCTGTACTAATTCTATGTGCAGACACGACTAAGTTAATAGTGTTGTTGTTCGTTACGGCTCGATGGTAACCTTGTCCTTGTTAAAATTCATCTAGGTAAATTGACGCAGGAGCAGTATGCAAGCAGCAGCAGACTGAACATCGTCGGTCTCGTGGGGTCAATCGACAATGACTTCTGCGGTACGGACATGACGATCGGGGCGGACTCCGCCCTGCATCGCATCATGGAGGCAGTCGATGCCATCACCACCACTGCGCAGAGGTGGGTGGGAGACGTGTGTAGCTCAGGAACCATGTGGGGGAGGAGGTTGCTTATTGCAGTGGTGACATTGGTGGGTGGGAGCTGTGCGTGGTGCAGGGGCCATGTATTTGGTTTGGAGACGTGCGTGGTGTAAGGGCCATGTGAGTGAGTGGGAGGTGTACGTGGTGGGGGTGTTATGTGAGTGAGTGGGAGGTGTACGTGGTGGGGGTGTCATGTGAGTGAGTGGGAGGTGTGGGTGGTAGGGGGCATTATGTGAGTGAGTGGAAGGTGTGCGTGGTGGGGGGCATCATGTGAGTGAGTGGGAGGTGTGCGTGGTGGGGGTGTCATGTAAGTGAGTGGGAGGTGTGTGTGGTGGGGGGCATCATGTGAGTGAGTGGAAGGTGTGCGTGGTGGGGGTGTCATGTGAGTGAGTGGGAGGTGTGCGTGGTGGGGGGCATCATGTGAGTGAGTGGGAGGTGTGGGTGGGTGGGGGACATCGTGAGTGAGTGAGAGGTGTGCGTGGTGGGGGCATCACGTGAGTGAGTGGGAGGTGTGCGTGGTGGGGGGCATCATGTGAGTGAGTGGGAGGT